TTATTTACGAACTTACCAAAAATATCTCATTTAAATTAGGGAAAAAAATAATTCTGAATAAAAAATAAAAAAAAAACATAAAATTAGAGGGAATAAACCAATCAATAGTTTTCTGAGATATCCCAATCAAATGCTCAAATATTTGGAGGTGGTAGTTGGCCCGCATGAGAGATAAATATGGAAAGAACCAAATCTTCTCAGATTTAATGATGCTCTTAGAGTCATTACTGTAGAATACACTTATCGGTCTTTATTTATATATTGGATTCTCTACATGCAACAATAGAATTTTTGAGGTTTATAATGTGATGGTTTTTTTAAATAAATTTAAATTATATGTAAATTATAGATTTGTTCATCAATAAACTAGCAAACAGAGTTGCTATTCTTTAAGTGATAATGAAATTATTCAAATATCTCGATGATACTCGTGTTAAATGTAATCTCAACCATAGGAAATTTTATTTTGAATTGTCTAAATTTTCTTGCAATTTCTTTGGGGCTTCAATTTAGATAACATTAAAAAAAAATAATTATCATAAAAAAATCAAAATATTCAAGTGAAATTTATCATCAACGCAAATAATAAACTTCTTACATTATTTATACTAGTTTGTCAAGAGTGTATTGGCTTGTCAAGTTGAAAAGCTTTAAGACTAATTTAAGTTCATAAATAGTCAATATCATATTGGGTAAATCTTTTTTACCACTCTCAAATGATTTTACTTAATAAGGCATGCTTGTGCTTTTGGTAAGTAGTTAAAGATAATCATGCCAATTTACTCATCAAGTTTTTTAACAAAGTTAGAATAAAAGGTGCTTTAAATCTCAAAATTGTTGAAATTAAACTTTGAGCAAGTTTGTTAAAGTAGAAAGCAATTGTTGAAGGCATCTCTATTTTCCCTGATAAGTCGATGAAGATAAATTAGATCGTTTTTTTATCAAGTCAGTTAAAGTGTAAGGCTAGGATAGAAGGAATATTATTCTCAAATTTCTCAAAGAAAAACTTTATTAAGTTCATTAAACACTAAACGTTGAACCAACGGCAACCTTCGTCATGCTCAACAATTTATTGTAGTCGAACCAAACAAATTCAACTCAAACGTTAACTTTAGGACTAGATTCCTTTACCGAATAACATGCATCATTACTTTAATAGTTTTTTGAGGATTGTGCCTATTTTTATTGCTCAAAGTACTCACTCGTTGGGATTACTACATGAAAATCCCTTGTGTCTTCTCCAAATAAATTTTTTTTTACAAAGATGACAATTATAGGTGATGTAGAAGAGGAAAGATGTTATATCAAAATAAAAAAAAGAAAGCTAAAGATTGATTTACATGCCAAATTTCAACTCATTTTTTGTGTAGGCATTCAAGAACATTTAAAAAAAAGTTTTTAATGCTATGTTCTTACGATGACATCCATAAGTGATTCAATGTGCAAGTGGGCCAATACATCTCCTATTTTGATAAAAGAATAACAAAACTTAAAATCTATCCAAACATCGTGCTCTCCTCTCCCTCGTTCGCACTCTTTCTTTCACCGCTCACTCTTTCTTATGCTTGGTCTCATGAACACCTCGTTCTACCACACGCTTTATCTACCATCTTCACGCACTTTACTTGCTGCTACACCTCATTCCCAATTTCAGGGGTGGGAGACAAACACGACCATGTTATGAGTGCAGTGGGCCAATACATCCCTTATTTTGATAAAAGAATAACAAAACTTAAAATCTATCCAAACATCGTGCTCTCCTCTCCCTCGTTCGCACTCTTTCTTTCACCGCTCACTCTTTCTTATGCTTGGTCTCATGAACACCTCGTTCTATCACACGCTTTATCTACCATCTTCACGCACTTTACTTGCTGCTACACCTCATTCCCAATTTCAGGGGTGGGAGACAAACACGACCATGAGTGCAGTGGGCCAATACATCTCCTATTTTGATAAAAGAATAACAAAACTTAAAATCTATCCAAACATAGTGCCCCCCTCTCCCTCTTTCGCACTCTTTCTTTCACCGCTCACTCTTTCTTATGCTTGGTCTCATGAACACCTCGTTCTACCACACGCTTTATGTACCATCTTCACGCACTTTACTTGCTGCTACACCTTATTCCCAATTTCAATTTCTATTATTGTATCTAGCACGACTCGCTTGAACAGAGAGAGTACCTCTCTCTCACACACGCACTCTCTCCACCTTATTTGCTTTCTAACAAAGTTGAAAAAAACAAGGAAGAAACAGCAATCTATATATATATATATATATATATACATACATACATATACGTGGCATTTTGAGTGTGCATTACATCACGGAGGGGAAATGTTATATCACTCGTAATTTTTCATGCAAGTAACCCTATGTGTCTTAATTGACGCAGTGGATGTAGTTGGTTGTAGTGTCTGTGACACTACTTATACACACTTTTCTTGTTGTGGCAGGTAAGCTTAACATTCTCGTAAATGAATTTTACATGTGGGAGATGTCAGTATGCCGTTCAAATTTTTGGGAAAGGAACTCTCAATGTACAAAACTTTAATGAACACGTAGATAAAACACATCTAAAATAGTTAAATTTACAAATAATACTATTAAATAGTTAAATTGAGGGCTTGTTTGGGATCACTTTCTGCTCTTTTTTTTTGTTTTTGTTTTTAGTCTATTTTGTTTTTGTTTTGCATTTTATTTTCTGTTTTTAGAAAACATGTTTGGTATTGTAGAAAACATGTTTGGTAGAAAACATGTTTGGTATTGTTATGATTTATATGTTTTTAAAAATAAAAAATATAAAACATGTTTGGTTGGGTTTTGTTTTTTAAAGAAAAAAAATTATACTTTTTATAAAATGGTTGGGTCTACCTGCGCTTTAGTATTTAGTTTTACCGCCCATGAGGTATATGACGTCTTTTTTGCTCCACTCAACATGAAGCATTACCTATGGGTGGACAGGCAAGCAGCAGAGGAGGGCGGAGGGGGGCGGTGGCTACTGGTGGCTGGGGCTAGCCACGGGTAGCGGGTGACAGAGCCTCGCATAATTTCTGTATTTGTGATGTTTTGAAAATAAGCCTCATTTGTTTAAAAAAACAAAAAAAACTAATAGAAAAACACTATTTTTGGGTTTATTTTCTTTTTTTTTTTTTTAAAAGCAAAAAATAAAATATCAAAAGGGATCCTAAACAGTGCCTCAGTTTTTAGTTTTGTCAGAAGAATTGAAAGAACCCTAACTGAGCAAATTGAACACAACATTGAACTCTTAGGGGATTGGTGGCAAACATGAAAGTTGGCCTACAAGCAAAACTAGAACCTTTTGACCATACTCATATCATTTCTGAATGCTCATAACGCTCAAGCACACATTTTACAAACTGATCTTGGGATGAAAATGAGCTGGGGAGGGTTCTTGTTTATGGGCAAAGAATAGTCTCATTTGAACAAGAAAATGTCCAAATAGAAGTTATATTCAGGGTAATAAACACTTCACAAACATTAAGCTCTTATTGATTGTAATTGAATTCACGATCTAATACAAGCAAGCAAACATAATATAATAAATAATAATTCTAAAATACAATGTTGCGTGTATGTCTTGAGTGCCATACATTCATGCAACAATTGCCATGATTGACTTTCACACATTTCAAGGAGTAGTGCATCCACAAGAATTGAGTTTTTTTTAATAAGTGAAATCAGGTGGTCTAATTTATTGTGTTATGTGTTACATAAAAAGTGCCCCGAAGTAATACATGTCAACCACCAAGGATAATTCTTTAATGTATCGAGCAACAATGGATTATTGTGTGCTACAATATATCCTCATGTATAAAAATTTAAAAAACAAAGATGAGCAAATTGCTTTTCTATTTCACGGGTCGCGTAGTCATTCTAACAATATGCTTCGAAAGCCGGATTATTTGTATGTGCTTCAATCAATTTGTTAAATGTGCAAATTTGATGCGTTGAGAATGCTATGTGGATAAGCATAAAACAATCAAATAGTATGTGCTCCGATCAATGTGTCAAATAATTGAACAAAAGCTTAAAATGCTGTGCAGGCTAAAATAAATTTTAATTCCAATTGCTATCACTTCAAAAATGTGTAAATCTTTTGAAAATGCTTACAAATATTTATCTTAAACATTTGACTTTGATCATGACAAAACTCTCGCACATAAGTACTTTAATTTGGTTAACAACTCAACGATTGTGGCAAGTCACAAATAAGCAGTTTTTTAGCTAAATATTTATATCAATTTGCAGACTGTTGCTGCGCGTTAGGTGAAACATTAATGGCAATTCTTTAACTTGCTGAGAAGTTCAATAAAGTTTAAAGATTTATATAATGAATAAACGCAAAATTTACTTATATTAATTTCTAAATATTTATAAATATTTATAATATTTTATTTATATAATTAATATATTTTATTAAAATAAGTTTTTATATTTTAATTATTGTATTAATCTTTGAGAAATTTTATGGTAGATCATAATCAAACAATTTAATATCTAAGGACCCATACTTTCCTGCTTGATGTATAGATTTATCTTCTTCAGCTCCTCTTCAAGTTGTTAAGGCTCCAAACAAGACTAATGGAAACAATCATCATCATCATCATCATGATTTGGCAAGTTCAAATATAGCCTGTATGAGTTCTTAGCAAATGACATGACATAAGAAATATTATCTCAGATTACACCAGTCACATGGGCTCATGAGGTCAACAACAATAGGGGATGCATGAGTAGTGTCCATTTTTGCAAAACTAATTTAAATCTGTCTACTATGACCCATGTAATTAAGCAACATTGCACATTGTGTAGGCTAGAGGTTCTTGTAGTAATATAATGATGCTATCTCTCTCTCTCTGTTTGTGTGTGTATGTGCGTGCGTGCGTTGGTGCGAGGGTAATCAATTGTTATTTAAAATGCTACTTTGAACTCGGACTTTTGTAATGATTTCCTACTATCTATCCTTGTTGTATGGCAGACGAAGCTTATTATCAAACTTGTTACCAGATGCATCCAATCACGGACATGAGGTTTACCGCTTTTTTCATGTGAAGAATGCTTCCCAGGTAGTGTATTTATCTCTATATTTTTTGGTATACATTCTATCATGGAGGGAACCACTGCCTGGATTTTGAACATTATCTTGAAATTATGCTGTTGTAAAATAGCTTGAAAATCTTGACCCTACATATGAATGAGAAGATATATCTGAGCCTTGTAAATGTTGTGTTTGGTTTGATTTTTAAATTATAGTGTAGGTTTCATTATTGGTTGTTGATCTAATATTGGCTTCAAATCTTTTCAATTGGACTTGGGATTTACAATTGCCATTCAAGAAGACTTTGATAGTTAAGTTAACAAAAATAAAAATTAAAATAAAAGAGATATATAATAAAATATGGAATTATGGATTTAAGCATGATTATGTTAAAAAGGCGTTGATAGTAGCGTATTTTAAAGAAGGTGGTGAGAAAGTTTTAGATCTTATGAAAGAAGATGCACTACTAAAACAAAGATATGAAGCTAATGATGTAGGATTAAAAGAAGATGCACTACTAAAACAAATATATGAATTTAATGTTGTAGGATTAGAAACAAGGTCGACTAAAGGTCACTCGATTGGATTATGCAAATAAGATTTGTTAAAATAAAGCAAAATCTTATGCCTGCACTCAATGTATGATAAAGGGTGGTATTTTGTAGAGCTGGCCCCAAGTAATTAGGATCAGATTAATGATGTGATGATGATTATGACACCAACACTCTGGATATGAACAAGGGTATTGCGAAATAAACTTAGTTCAATGCATTTTCTTCGTACTTAATAAGGAAGGGCTGATTTGTAGCTTCCTGTATGTGAAGCTCTATGATTTTGGGAGTCTTTAATCAAAGGATACAGCTGCAGATGGCTATCTATGTAGAATCCTAATCCATTTTTTGACTTGCTATCCACATGCAAACTAGAAAAGTAAGAATAAAGATGGAAGAATGAAGCGAGAGTTGTAATAACTTCTAATAAACACAAATTTTAGCTTAGAATCCTAATCCATTTTTTGACTTGCTATCCACATGCAAACTAGAAAAGTAAGAATAAAGATGGAAGAATGAAGCGAGAGTTGTAATAACTTCTAATAAACACAAATTTTAGCTTAGAATCCTAATCCATTTTTTGACTTGCTATCCACATGCAAACTAGAAAAGTAAGAATAAAGATGGAAGAATGAAGCGAGAGTTGTAATAACTTCTAATAAACACAAATTTTAGCTTAGGTGTGACTAGAGAGCTTTCAGAACATTCAGGGTATAATGAAAATCTTATAGTTTAAACATTGAATGCTTTTGGTGATGCCGCCAGAGAGTATGTGTATAACAGTTAGCACTGGACTAGAAGTTTCTGTTATGATAATTGAAAGACTGAAAATAAAATTGAAATTCTAAAAAGGGAGGTTAACCGTGTTTTGAGTGCACAATCTTCAGTTTTAAATAATCTACAAGGTCTGCTCTTAATAGTTATGATTCCATATATTACCTTGATTTGATCATGAATTTTGTTCAAATAACATAATTTTATGAACATTTATTTTTATGTCAATCAATATTAATTACTAGAATAAATCATTATCATCAGAAAAAAATACTCCATCCTAACTATTCGGAGTTAGCAATATGAATCTTTTTTTTATCATTAGTTCCCATTGTGTGTGTTTTTATACATAAATAATTAATGCACATGGGTGCGCGCGCGCACGCTCGCACACAATGGTCGAATATAAGTTGAAAAGTTCACTTATTGAGAGAGTTGCCCGCACAATCGCCATTGCTAGCTTCATGTTTTAAGGCTAATGCAAAATTTAAGAACATAACACAGTGAATGTGCATGCGACTTTTTTTTAAGCATACTTGGAGGGATTGGTGGTTGCTAAAAAGCATAAATTCTCGATGCAAAAACAACTGCTTTTAGTTCTTATTCACGAGTAGAACATTTCTATTTAGGGATGCTTAGTTTTTTGTTGAAACATTCCATGGCTTTTCATGATTATGAGAGTACAATTTTGATACGCCTCCATACCAGAAATAACAAACAAAACACAACAAAATAGTAATAGATAGGTAGAAGAAACACAAACAATGGCTGTTCTTACAAAAATAAAAGGAAAACAAGCAAGATATAAGTTTGTTATACTTTTAGAGAGGTAGATCATCTCTCACATACCCTAGACGTCGCGAGGTATACCACACAAATAAAGAAAACAACAACCAAACAAAACATGCATGAAGAAAGCAACCCTAGTTATTCCTTTTAATAGAATCCCACCACAACATTTGAAAAATTTCCCTCCAAACACCGTCAATTCCTCTTCCTTGAATCTGTGATTAGGGCACTAGTGGACCCCGTTTGCTCCCCCCCTCTCTTTTGTTGCGGCCATAGGCCACTCGACCTCTTCACTCGACGAGGGTCGGCCCGTCTGTTGAAGGGGCGGGCCGGTTGGGTGGTGTTCAACCGGTCTAGGAGAGACCGGTCCTCTTACTTTTGTTACGGCGTAACAATACTCCCAACAGATGTGTCTTGTCCTCAAGATGGAAGGATGAAAATTGTTTGTGGATCACCTCACAAGGCTCTCATGTTGCTTCAATGTTTGACAGTCATTTCCACATAACCAATACATCCTTTGCCCCCTACTCCTTAGCACTCTCCTTTGATCTCTAACTTCTCCAGAATCACTTTCAAGTCCTCCGTCAGTGTTGACAGTAGTGTTGACGAGGTCGTATGATCTCCAATCACACGTCTAGGCTGTGATACATGGAAGTGTGGACAATGGTGGTAACTTCAAATGGTGGGCTATTGCCCCAATGCTTGCCATCACCTCATAAAACCCAAAGTATCGCAGTGACATTTTCTTGCTTCTCCTCCTAGCTAAAGTCTCCTATCGGTAGGGCCTCGGTTTCAAGTAGACCATGTCTCCTGGTTCAAATTCCACCTTTCTTGTGTTTGTTCGCCTTCCACTTCGTGATTTGTTGAGCTCTCAATAAATACTCCATGAGCTATGCTAGTAACTTGTTCCTCACCTCAAAGTACTGATCAATGTTGGATACCACTGTGGTACTATACCTATAATGTATTAAATGAGGTGGATCTCACTCATATAATATTTTGAAAGGGTTTGTCTGTGTTGCGGTGTAGTATGAAGTATTATACCAATATTCGACCCATGCAATTTACTTAGCCCATAGTTTTAGTGTATCAGATACAAAACAATGCAGGTTTATCTCCACACTCTTGTTGACCACCTCCCTCTGCCCATCAATCAGGGGATGATATGCGGTGCTTCTGTTAAGGGTTGTCCCTTGCAACTTGAGTAGTTTCTTCCAAAAGTGGCTAATGAACACCTCGTCCGTATCTGATACAATCGATTATGACACCCTATGCAAGCGGACCACTTTCTGGATAAACACCGCCGCGACTGAGATCACAGTGTAGGGATGTCGTAAGGGAATGCAATGTGCATACTTTGGTGATCATCCTGATTGAGGCAACCCCTCGATAAAATTGGTCACTTCTTCCCAATTCTTTTATACTAATGCTAATGATTGTAGTAACCCTTTTGGTGTCGTGTTCAAGTAATTGTGTCACTTGCACACATCACATTTTGGCACCATATCCTTTATGTTTTTGTGCATCACCACCCAATACAGCTCTGCTGCCAGGCAACTGTAAGTCTTTCGCACCCCCAACTGTCCCCTGATCACACTGCCATAAAACTCTTGTAATAATCGGAGAATATATTTTGACAACTTGGGTAGCATGAATCGCCCCTGGTGGAGCAACTGTTGTCCCCTCAATGGATATCCTGGGTGACTATTCAGATCCTGTAATAACGCGACCCTTATCTTCCTCAGCTCCTCATCCCTTTTGCTCTCCCATCTCAAGGCTTCCCGATCTATGACCAATGATATCGATGAGACTGTCAATTGAGGTTCCTCCGCCTTTCTCGACCGCGCGTCAGTTGCTTTGTTCTCCAATCCTGGCAGTACTGAATCTCAAAATCATACTCCGGTAGCTTGGACAACCATCTCTGATGCGCCTCAGTCACCATCTGCTACTCCGGAAAATACTTTAAACTCCTCTGATCTGTTCTATTCAAAAAAATGTCGTACCAACAGGTAGGGTCGCCACTTCTGAATGGCGATTGCCACGAATTCCTATTCATACATTGACTTTAGTCTCGCTTTGGCCGTAAGAACTTAGTTGAAGTAGGCAATCGACTGTTGATCCTACATGAGCATTGCTCTCAATCCATACCCTAACGCATTTGTCTCCACAACGAATGGTTTACTGAAATCTGGAAGTGCTAATACTGGTGCGCTAGTCATAGTTCTCTTCAGTTGACCCGTCAGTTACGAACTTTCGGTAGTATCATGTGAGACCCAGGAATCCTCTCAACTCCTTCAAAATCTTTGGTAAGGGCCAATCAATCATAGCCTCGATCTTGGACTGATCCACTGCTACCCCTGTTCTGGACACCACATGCCTTAGGTACTCCACCTGCAACATTGCAAAAGAACATTTCTTCAAGTTAGCATACAATTGGTGCTCCCTCAATATCTCTAGGACTGTCCTTAGGTGCATACAATTGGTGCTCTGTCTCTATACATTTGTGTATCAAGATGTCATCAAAGACGAGGACAAGCTTTCGTAGGTAAGGTTAGAACATCCTATTCATGAGGGATTGAAATGTCGTCGGGGCGTTGGTGAGGCCAAACGACATCAATTAGAACTCATAATGTCCTATATGTGTCCTGAATGACGTGATGTGCACATCTGTTGGGTTTATCCTGATCTGGTGATACCCGAATTAAGATCAAATTTTGAGAAAATGACTGCCCCATAAAATTCATCCAGTAACTCATCAATCACAATAATAGGAAATTTGTCCAATACTATCTCCTTGTTTAATGCCTGGTAGTTCACGCAAAATATCTAACTATCATTTTTTTCTACACCAACAGGACATGAATGGAAAAAAGACTTACACTAGGCATAATCCCGGCATCGAGT